TGCAAAGCCCATATTTTTAACCACTCACAATCTACTGCTTCTGAGCCTCAGTTTTAAGTATTATAAAATGGAGTAATTACATGCCTACCTCACAGAATTGATGTGGAGACAAAGTGAAATAATAAGTAAAGCATCTAATATACTAAGTGCACTCAATAAAGGATGCCCCTCTTCCTTCTCTCACTCCAGTGGTGATTATAACATTGATAATAAAGGAAACTGTCCCTAAATGTGCCTTACCTATATCAAAACAGAGATATATTGGGTCTCAATTAATTCACAAAAGGAAAATACTAACAGGTCAATAAGTACTTTTAACATAAACGGATAAAAAGGAAAAAAAGTGAAGAAAAACAACATATTCTACCTCATTTTAGGACTGGAACCCTGCTATTGATATTTCCAAATGTGATAAAAATATGTAAATATTCAAAATATATCAATATATCAAAAGTTAGGAGAGAAGAGCACAGAACCCAGAGACGAAAATTCATTGCGGCTTACAGGAAGACTCTCAATAGAACATATTCAATGATATTACCTTTTTTTTAAAAAGTACTTCTAGTGGGAAAGACAGATTTTGAACAAAGATAGAGACAATAAGGATAATCTTTCCGCCATAAGTTTTTTTGTTTTTTGAAAACAGACTTTAATTCTCAATACTAAGCAGGATGGGGAGTTAGGAGTGGAATGAGGTGCAAAGAAAAAATTACAGCACTTTTGCTGTTAATTACCAACAAATCTATACATCCTTTACTTTCTTTTTTTTCCCTTTTTTTCCTCTTTTGGTACATAGTTATGACATTTATCTCTGATAGCTGTAAAGAAATTAAATCAGAACTATTTTTATTTAATTCCCTAATAAATAAGAACATTGGGTATATACACAAACCTAAGTACTGTGACTTAAAACAGAACAAGATTTTACATCAAGCCCATCTGGTGTTACATTAGGGTGTGTCCTATAGCAATCCAACCAAGGGTGACTGCCAAACTAAGCTACAGAAGACAACTCAGAAAGCTGGTGAGTCCCATAATATAAGCTCTATTTCAAAAAGTGCAAAAGATTAGCTGATATCACTCCACCCTCATAATAACTCTTCTATTTCTGAAATATTGTTTTCGTCACAAAAATATGGGCCAGTAGTGGACACAGCAGACACCCTGAGAAGGTGACATTGTAGAGATAGCAGTTATCTAATTTACCCACAAGGTAATGTCACAATTGTATGTCCCAATCCTGATAACTTCATCTTTCTGCTAAGTTCTCTAAGAGGTAAATTGATTTCTTCAAGCCTCAATTTCCACATATGAAAAATAGAAATCATAATATACTTCTGCCTCACTAGGTTCCAAAAATGGAAACTAGCTAAGAAAAAAATTAATGTGAAGTACTCTGAAAAGAATAAACTAGATTCCCTGACCTGATTATTGGTCAGAGCCTTGTAAAACTAGACTTACTACTTCTACCGATTCCATACATGCCACTTGGTCATCAGACTGATAAATAGCATTGACTGTACAGTTGATCCACTTAAGAGCTTTAAAGTAATAGAAACAAATTTTGCATCATGATGTATTTTCATACCCATTTAAGTAACTACTTGCAAAGTAAATTTGTACATAAACATTATAAAAAATAGGTAAGAAAAATGAAATTAATTTAAAAATTTTGAACTTTAAACAATTTTCAAAATAGTCAGCTTCCAGTATAGAACACTCTGAAACCAATACTGAACAACTATGCAAGAATAGGAAATGAGCTAACCAAGAAATAGAAGGAATCACAAAGTAAGTTTCATCTGATGGGCCGAAATACAATATGGAGTATTTTTATATTGTTCTGTCTGAGATGTCTGTCTCAGATTCTTAACTCCCAGATTCTATTTTTAAAAATCACTTAACACTGTGTATTTCCAATAGCCATCAAGGCATATACTGTCATCCCTGACACAGAAGATTGTCAGCAGACTCAATATGTACACTAATGATCTCAGGCAACAATGCCCATCTTCTTATCAAAGAGATCCTTATTCCAGAAGAAAAAGTTTAAAGTTCTCTAAGAAAATTCATTTGAAACCATAGGAAGTAGTCACTATAAAATGTCAGAATCACTAATACCTCTTACTTCTTCTTAAGTTTATCTTACATGCTAAATTTCAAAACCAAAAACTGTCAGGCACTATAACATTTTTAGTTTTCTCCCAAGTCGCCAGTGCTCTATTCTAGCACTGTCAAATAATGATAGCTGCTGTCATTATTTTTATACAATAGCTGGCAGCAAGTTGCACAGAGACCCTTCATCTTAGAAGAGTTACCAAATACCTCAAACAAATGTTGGGACCTTACAGTAGTACTGACCACCTTCCTAAAGTCAAAATAAGTGAGCTCTCATGCCTTATTGATACTTTTTTGGCCAGAGCGTTAGCTGTTTTATTTTAAAAAAAAAAAAAAAAAAAAAAAGATTTTACTTATTTTATTTTTTTAACTGTTTAAAAATAACTTTTTTTCCTCCTTACACATATATTCCCATCCTCTCCTTCCTGCTACTAGAAACTGTCTTAAAGGTTTTCACATTTACTTTTAGCTTTAACACTTTCAATCAAAATTGCAATTCTGTTTTTGGAAGCAGCCACCCTCCAGGAAGTATATTTGAAGATATTAAAAAATGCAGAAAATAAATAAGTCCTTTTCATTTAACAAAGTCAACAATGCATGTAAAGGGATTTAGGAAAACCGGTGATCTCAGACACAAGCGATTTGACAGGCCAGATGCACACAAAAATTATTCCAAGTCACGGAAAAACATCAGAGTGACCAATTCTAGGTATCTTGTACTAATTAACAGACAAGAGTTCCTCTCTATCACTATTTGCTTTGGCAATCTAAAATGCTGATATTCTCCTAGATCTAACAGAGAGGAAAAATGGGTATCTTCTCCATCTAACACCTAAGTGGGTAACCTAGATACTGTAAATAGAGGCTACATAAAGGATGCAAGAGACAGCTCTGAAGTGAGAGCCAAAATATTTAACCTGCAACTCTTTGGAAAAGAATCTGAAAACACGTGCATCTTAGCCAAAACCTGTACTAACATGGAATTGCCACAGGCTAGTAAGTTAAAAAACTCTCTACCAAACATAAGTTTACTGTTGTTGGGTGAGAAAAGCTCAAATGTCAAAAGCACAGTTCTTATTTGTTCAAATTGATCATGCCTACACTCTGCACTGTTTATTTAAAAAGATGAGTGAACTGCCTTTCTGAAGCAAGTACTTGAAAAATCAGAATCAAATTCACAAATAAAGCAGCCAATTAACCAATTGACAAGCATTTTCCTGTGGTTGTGTCTAGGGGATGACAGTCGAGTCTCTGATTAACAGTTACTCCCTACCCGATACATGCAATGTTTCTAAAGCCAACAGCTAACTAATAGAAACTACATATTCATCTCTTTTTACTCTTTGGGAAATTGTGTGAGCTATCTGAGAAATAAAAAGATTGCACCAAATAACGAGTATATTGAAATGTAAAAATTCTATTGCCTAAATTGTAGTCGTAGTATATTTTTTATCAAATCAACTAGCAAAAAAAAGAATGCAAAAGATTCATTATGAGATTAGCATGATAATTTAGTATACATTCACTCACTAACTTTACTAGTTTTTTCTTTCTAAATGATAAAGGAATTGTACGGACTGCTTCTAGAATTAAATTTTCTTAGGAAATGCTCATTACTTAAAAGAACTATAACTTTTAAATAAATAAAACAAATTCAAATAACTCAATCATAATTTCAAGTCAATAGTTAAAAGTACTTAAAGTTAATAAATTGCAAAATGTATTCAATAGTATTCTATATAAACTGCTTATAATTCACTAGTCTTTACTAATTACTAAGCTCGTAGCTTTATAATAACTTAAAAGTTTCGAGAGCTGTTAGAAGTAAAAAAAAAAAAGTTGCTCTCTCTGGATAGTCAGAATACATTTCTGAATATGCTCACAATTAAGTAGATGATTCACTTTTCTTAGTTACTAAATCTTCAGGGGGGAAACAAAGGAAAGAAAATGCCTTTCCTTCATATACCGGCAGAACAGAAAACTTGTAAATTTAATTATATTTACATGTAAGTCCAATGAGTCCAATGTCCTTTCTATAACATATAAGAATAAAATATAAATCAAAAGTATAAAGAAAACAAGATATCAAATTACTTTTGAGTAAGAGTAATAAAGCACTTGCACTTGATAACTAAACTGATAAAACATTGTAATTAAGAAAAAAGCAACCATATTCTTAATTAAGAAAAGCATTTTGTCTTCTGTCACTGACAGCACATAAGTTGCATCTTATTACACAAAAACAATGTATATTATATCAGTAAATGACCCTTTATCAAAAATAGTAGCCAAAACTGTCTTTTCCTACAAATTCAAAACATCTTTCCAAATTTTATCAGCTCTTCTCTGAACAAAAGACTTTCAACCTTGTTAGAGAAATGGATATAAATGAGTTCTATAAATTTGCAATTACACTTCACTTCCAATGCTTTGGAGAAAAAACTTTCACATTTTTTAAAAGCAAGTAACACTATAATTTTATCACTGACAGTTTAGCTTTCTACCAAGGCAATATAAAATTATTTCATTTATTAACTGTGAAGAGTCCTTTGGAAGTGATGTTTCCACATTTTTTACCCAACAACAACAAAAAATCTAGTCATAAACCTGGCAAGTCAAAACAATAACCAGCAAATTCTAACCTTTCTTACCTGATACAGGTAAGCACCAGCTCCCAAATGCCACCTTGGGATAGTTCAGACTAGTAAGCAGGCTCATGTTTTATAATACTAGAATGAACAGGAATAAATCTGTGTTGTTCTTTCTTTAGCAAAATCTATAACAGTAGCTATACCACAATGTGAGAGGACCCACAGACCTAACAAATTCAAGTCTGTTGCTGGAGAAATAGAAAAAAAAAAAATCATAAAACGAAGACTTACTGCTTGTCATGTGACTTGGTGAGGCATGCTGTCCATTGGGTGTGCTTGAGGTGAGGTCAATTGCCATATTGGAGTGTTCCCTTTCGGGTGAAAGCTCATTGTCACCTGCTTTCACAAAATATAATCTTTTGGTTTCTATTCATTGTCACGTAAGATGTAATTACTAACTTTGCTTTATACACGCAATGGCATGCATAGCCTTCAAACTGTAAGGTAATACATTTTTCCCTTAAAAAAAACTATAAGGAAATACTACTAGAAATATACAGTTGAATGAAAGGACGAAAAGCCATAATCAATCCACAATAAAAAAAATTAACAAAACTTCATTATCTTAATACATAAATTGTTGATTTCTAAAGTATCTTTCAGTTGAAAGAAATAACTTTTCTTTTAACATCTAATTTAATTGCTAAGCATACAGAATATATAATGAGCATTTTCCAAAATGCTAGCTATCAGAGAGAGGATGGAAAAGACAGGTAGTTCAAGAAATGTCAAGTTAGGAAAGCTAATTCTCTTTCACATAATATGTCTGAAAAATTAGGTTACAGAGAAGTAAATATTTAGTACACATCACATTAATAGACATATATGAAACCTAGACTATTCTAAACTTACAACAAAGTAAATTATAAAAAGTAGGAAAGTGCTGATCTGCTAGCTACTATTGATTTAAGTACACTACTTAACTTAGTATATCTTTATATTTCCTTCTTATTTCACTTCAGTGCTGTTATTTTCTCAAACTCATTCAAAGGTGAAATTGTGAACAGATAGAAAAAAAGAATACAGAATTCTTAATAAAGTTTCATAATCCAGGAATTAAAACACAGGTAGTACAAAGGCAACTTTATTACCAATAACAAATTAATGAAAACTAATACTTACACGTTATATAGCCATCAATAGCCTCTGTTTCCATAGTCAAAGTGCAATGCTGCAAAACAAAAGATTATACCCTTAATACAATGATTCCTTTCAGTATCTGCCATCAAATTCTTAACTTATTTGAAGCTCCAAGCAGTTGGTCCATGTTGCTGCTGCAACCTGTGCCCAGAAACATACACAGTGTACTGTATGTGCTCATTTGCAAGTCACTGAACTCTTTCTGCAAATGATCTGATTCCTGCTGGAGATAGGATAGGAAAGATAAGTGTGCAGTGAGATGGGCAAGAGCAAAAAAAGAATGACTGTCTTAATCAAAATTTACTGGGTTTAAAGAAAAAATAAGGGGTACACCTCAAATGTGTCAGCTTTAACTGGGATTTAAGTGTTTTACCATTCGCTACTTCCCACAATCACACTGCAGTTTGAGGACTTCCCCAGTATACAGATAGCTCTATTCACAATTGTTGCAAGTTGGTTCATCATGTTCTAATAGGGAGGGGGAGGGCAAACAAACATAAGAAAACAAAACAAAACAAAAAACTTAGTGCCCAACGGTGTCTTGAAGATTTCTACAGCAGTTGGCCAACTCCCTGACTTGTATTGACATTTTAGTCAACCCCAAGTTCTGTGTAAGCACCTGTTCAATGTAACCTTAATTTCCTGCCAGACCATGCTTGGATACAAATGCCAAGCCTACTTAATACAGTCTGATTTTGAAAATTTCATAAACTTTGGTTGTACTAGAGAGAATCACTTAAAAAAAAAAAAAAAAAAAAAAAACTTTGGACAATTATTCTTATGCACAAATGATAGAAAACAGAATATAATTCTCAGAAACAAAAGTAAACTGTATGAGATGACACCCCCTAGCTTTGATTCACATAATGAAAAGATCGATAATCTAACTGTATTCTGTGGGGAAAAAAAAAGTTTAAGAATTGACAAGTCCTGTGAAGATTTTTACTTTTTTCCCCCCTTTGGCCTTGGTCCTTTTTGCCTTTAGTTTCAAAACTCTCACTGCACCAGCAGCTAAATTATTCACAATGAGCCATTTCTGTATTGATCGCCAAGTATATTTAGCCCTGGCTCCTGGAATTTCTCCATTACTTACTGGAAAACAGGCAGCTTCACTTCTTGTCTCCAAAACCACTTCCCTTCTCCCTCCCCTCCCCTTCTTCACCACCACCCTCCCTTACTACCCCCCCCAAAAAAAAAACTTTTCTTTCTTTCTTTATGGAATAATCAGATCAAATTCCCAACTCAGTCACTACCCAGCACTTAAATTTCAACCTGCTGTACTGTTATCACATTCTTTTAAATTATGATTACATAAGGCTTTTAAGAAAGAGATCCGTAAAGTTTAAAAGAGGAGCAGTTTCTTCGGATATTTTACAAATGAGCTTATCTCTTTAAAAATGTACACATTTAACACACACACATTAAAAAGAAAGAAACGTCAGGGAGAAGCGAAAGAAGGCTGCCCCATCAATGAAATGGTTATTAACCCTCAGAGAAGGAAAGAAAGAAAAAGAAAAAGGAGAAAGAGAAACGAAATGTACATACAAAAGAAATTGTCCTTTGATTAAAAAAGATTCATCACCATTTCCAGCTCTGTCGGGAGATCTCAGCTTCTTCTAACCCCTCAAAGAGGAGGTGACAATGTCGGGCTGAAGATAAACGGAGGGAGAAAGAAAGAAGTTTTTTGTGTTTCCCCCTTCTCTCTTTCCCTCCCTTGCCCCCTCCAAGCCAAGCCCCCTGCAGAGTTCAAGGGGAGGAGGAAGGAAAAGCACTTTACAGGTGGGTCATTCCAAGCCCAAATCCAGCAAACAGATCGGCTGATAAACAAAACCAAGAAATGAGAGAGAAGGAACACCCCCCTTCTCCTCCTCCTCCTCCTCCTCCTCGTCCTCCTCCTCCTCCTCCTTGTTCCACCCCTCCCCCTCGTCCCTTTGGGATGGTCTAGTAGGAAAAGTCACTCAGGAATGGCACCACGTACTTTCAGGAAAGAGGAAAAAAAAAGAGAGAGAGAGAGAGGTCAGTCAGTGCTATAGCAATGCGATTAACAAGAGAAAAAACTTGATCCACCGGTTCCTTAAGAATCGACCAAAAGCTAAGACAAGAAAACTGAAAGAAAAGGAGGGGGGGGCGGGTAGAGGGGAGGGACAGTCAGGCAGAACCCAGCTAGGAACCTAGGCCAACTTCACAGGACTGTTTTTGGCCCTTGGCAAAAAAGAAAAAAATTAAATCTTAATTCCATCTCTTTCGCCCATACTAGAACCTGTCAAAGTGATTTAACTGCTGCCTTTTTACATATGTCATACCAGGGTTGGTTTTTTTTTTTTTTTTTTTTTTTTTTTAATTCCAACAGGATCTGGATATTACCTTCTATCTGGACAGCTGCAATTTATTCCAGCCTACCCAATCTTTCTTCTTGGAATTCAAGTTAAAACAAAGCAAAACAAGTCCAAATTCATGACAGCTATAGAGATGAGAACTGATTAATCGATTAACATCCCAGAAACAGATTACAAGGAGGGGACGATAAATTAAGGCAGAGGACATCATCTTCAACCCGATTCCCTGAGCGTCCTTTACAAAAATCATTACCCTAATCAGAACCACAATCCATCCCTCCCAGAGAAAAACACCTATATTATTATTATTATTACTGGTTAACAGCAACAAGTCATTTGATCACACCACAGTGCAAAACGAGATGCTATATAATTACACTTAACTTTGAAAACACTCCCCCCTTTGCAAATCATACACATATTTATATATAATCTATGAATCAGAAGACAAATAAAACAAGAGCTGTTCTTCACCACGCAAAAGCCAAGCGGAGATTTACCTCAGCAGTGCATGCAGTAAAATAATCCCATCACCCTTTTGTTTGTGTTTACTGTTAATGTGTCCTCTGTCTTTCTTTCTTTCCTGTGCCTAACGTGTGTTTGTGCACTGCAGTTGGTGGTGGAAACTAAGGCAGTGGATCTGTAGCTAAGGGTAATCCTGTTTTTACTTCCTCCATCTTCAGCGAGGAGCAGGGTTAGCCCGGGACAGCTGGTCAAACCCCGAGAAACCGATCCGGTGGAGCCCGAGCACATCTCCCCCGCCGGCCGGGCTCGCGCAGACGCCCGCGGGCGGAGGGCGGGCTGGCGGCGGCGGTGTCGGCGGCGGCGGCGGCGGCGGCGGGCGGCGGGCGGCGGGCAGCGCAGCCCCGGGCGCGGGCGGGCGGACGTGCGTGCGCGCGCGTGCGTGTGTGCGGGTCCCGAGCGCCTGTGCGTGTGTATGAGAGCGCGTGTGCGCGCGCGCGCGCGGGCTGGCGGGCGCGTGTGCGCGTGTCTGCGCGCTCAGCCGCTCGGCGCGCTCGGCAATCGATTACAGGACAAGTGCTGCCCCGGAGGCTCCGCGACGCGCGCACTCCCTCGCGCCCACCCGCGCGCTCGGCCGCGTCGCCCCCAGCCCGTTGGTCCCCGGACTGCGGACCCCGCCCCCGACGGGGGCCAGGTAACCCGCTTCCGAGTGTGCCACGGCGACCCCCATCCCCCCTCCCCGTGTCATAATAAATCTCACGTTTTCTGCCGGCTGGAGGCTTGGAGCGGTGAGGGGACGTTCATTTCGGCCGCGTGAAGTTTTCTTTCAAACTGGGATTGGTGGGGAGGCCGGGGGAAGGGAGTGCGGCGGCGATCTTGGCGCCCTGCGCGGAGTCCGGGAGCCGCGTCCCGGCCCGAGTCTGGGAGTGCGCGTGGAGCCTCCCACCCACTGGTCTCCGCCGGCAACTCTGCGGCCCCATTTCGGAAAACGCACCGCATTGACCGGGACTTGAAGCGGCATAAGAGGGGTCCTGGGGAATAGACTGAGAAAGGCATTCACGTCTGAGATGAAGCTCAACTATTACTATTTTGAAAGTGCTTTAACAGCGCAAGTTTAAAATTAAAGTGTTTACTTGCTTTTTCTCCCCTGAGGCATGTGCCACGTCCCCCAAAGTCAACGGAATGGATGAGGGTCCGAAAAGTTGCCACCCTTGAAGTACCTATCACTATCAATCAGAGCTTGTTTATTTGGAAAGAACTTAGGTGAACCGTCAAGAGAAAAACAAATGCATATTCTTTCTACAAATAGTAGCGTTTAGTATCTTTCTTGACCACATTTGCGAAAAGAGGGAATAGAGACTTCTATAATTAAAGGGAAAAGGAAAATGAAAGGAGCTGAAAATAGTGAACTGTGTAGTCTGGGTGGCTGAAATTTGAAAACACATGAAATTATCAGGACTGCCAAACGGTGTTTCTGAGAAACCATATCACAGATTGTGAAGAAAATCAATGCTGGAAGAGTCGGAACAGGCACCGTACTCCTACTCCTTTGAAGAATTCCAGAAATAGTTGTTGAGGTTTTTTTTCTGCTGAGAAAAAAAACTATATATTGAAAATTAAATCATCAACGGTACCTTAAGCACCACTCTATAGGTAATTTTGGATAGTGTCTTTTCTTTACATTTTGATATGGGGAAGGAATTAATTCACATCGACACAAACTAAATAATGGATACCATGTAACTTGTGTGACACTGTAGCTTTTATAATGAATTACTTCTTGAAAGGTTTTTTGGCCATACATTGTATTATTAAACAATTATAACGATAGTCTCTTTTTGTTTAACTATAGAAAATGGTAGATGGTGTGATACAGCAAACAAGATTAACAAATTTTCGTTGGAGAGAAATTATTTGGGCTCGGGCTTGCAATAACATTATGATGATTTTAAGGAAAATTGCAGTTCCTGTGAGTTATATATTGGTAAGGCAGATTTTTAAACACTTAGTTGCCAGTTATTTAAATAAAATTAGTTTTCCTAAAGTCATATTTGGGAAAGTCTGAGTAGACAACCAGTAAGTCACTCTAATTATCCCAACAGACAGCAAATATTTTAGTCTTAAATTACCTCAAAAAATCTGTATGTCGTTTATAATATGTAAATGCCCAAAATATAAAGGATAACATAAGTTCTCTAAATTGTCATAAGTCCTTCCTAAAAACTGAACCTAAGTGTTTAGGTATCTGTACAGTTATAGAGATCCTTGAAAATATGAAAGGTAATCGAAATTAAGATGAAATGTGTTTGATAGTTTGCACATTTTTACACAATTTAATTATTTGGTAGAAGAGGATCCACTGTGAAATCTTAAAGATACATCCTCAGGTTCCCCAGAGTTACCAAGTTGATGTAGCCCTTGCACCTGGTTTATTGGAGCTTTATTTAGCTTCCTTGAAGCCTGTCCTTTTCAAGAGTTAACTTTCATTGGCTCCCTAGTCACCAGAGGCACACTTTCTCCCTCTAGTGGCTAAGGCTTCAGACACTACATTCTGTCATCCTGCCTTCCCCTGATTGGATCCCAGATTTTAGAATAACAAAGATCTCATGACCACCTGGGAGAATTGGACCATCTTGGCAAATGTTTCCCTCTTTTTAACATCCTACATTCCTTTCTTATTTGCAGATTATGGTGTATCTAACTCATCGAGAGAAATCATGATTATGTTTTCATACCAAGATTGGGGGTTTTATTTCATGGCTGTGGAGTCTATAGTCCTAAGATTCACAATGCAATCCCCTCATGGGAAAGAAGCCTTGTATAAACTGTGATTGACTTTGTTCAGAATTTCTCTGGGTAGTTTTGTTTGTTTGTTTGTTAGTTTTGGTTTTGTTTTTGTTGAGACAGAGTCTCACTCTGTCACCCAGGCTGGAGTGCAGTGGCGCAATCTTGGCTCACTGCAACCTCCGCTTCCTGGGTTTGTGTGATTCTCCTTTCTCAGCCTCCCAAGTAGCTAGGATCACAGGCGCCCACCACCACACACCTGGCTAATTTTTGTATTTTTGGTGGAGACGGGTTTTCACCATGTTGGACAGGCTGGTCTCGAACTCCTGACCTAAGGTGGTCTCCCAAAGTGCTGGGCCTCCCAAAGTGCTGGGATTACAGGCGGGAGCGATTGCACCTGGCGTCTCTGGGTAGTATTTTGATAGAGGGTGCATTTATTTCTGTCCTTTGCCAGAAGACATAGACTGTACACTTTTTTTTTAAGGTACACATATAGCTATACCGTGCATTAAAATATACCACTAGGGAAGTGAAGTACCATGTTCTTTGGCCACTGTATCCAGTTGGAGAGTTAAGTTTTTACTTTAGGGAAGAAGTGACAGGGTGGGGAGGAAACAGACCCGTCAACCCTTACCATTTTTGACGTAGCTGGTTCTTTCTGACCCTTGCTGTCTCAACCTACCCAAACATTTTCTTACACCAATTCCTATCGTAGCACCTTGAATATTTCCTTCATAACATACTTTGTAAATATTTTATTAATGTGTTGAGTTTTAAAATAAAGTCTGTCTTTACCGCTTGGATATGATCTTTCTAAGGCCAGGGATTATGTCCTGTTAATCATTGTTTTCTCAGAAGTAACATAGTATTTGGTACAAGTTGGTACTCAATAAACATTTATTAAATGAATGAATCTGAAGGAAATTATAAAGTCAGCTAGCTTTCATGTATTAAACTCTTTTCAAAAGACAAAAAAGGTCAGATTTCAAAGATACATGCTGATTTCATGAAGAATTTGGTCAGATCTTGGCTCATAAGTCATATTACAAATATCCTTAACAGGTCAGCTCTAGCTTACAAGCTATACAAAGGATCTGAACCTCTTGGTAGATAACAGTTATATTTACAAAATGTATATAAAATACAATGTTATATAAATTTTAAAAAATTTAAATATCTATTTTTAACGTTTGTATATTAATTTTGCAAACATAAATGTGAAAAGTGGCTAAAATTGTATATAAAATGCAATTTGGAATAAAATACATTTATGTAACCCCTCTGTTTCAAAAATGAATTATTTCCTGTTACTACCTGACAATTCATGAACCAGGGTGACTATCAAGAAATGCAACAGGTTTAATTTTGTAATCACTAAGTGTGATCAGCAAAAGAAAAATTTTACAAGTCAACATAGCTAAAAGGTACATTATGGAGTGTTGGTTTTGTTTCTTTGAGTAGTCTGTTTTATCTGTTTTAGATTTAAAAGCCCTAAGTACCCTTTAAAGGAATTTGGATAAAATCCCCTTTTGTTTGCTCAAGGAATTAACTGTATATTTTTAAGTTTTGGTTTTGTTTTTAGCAGAAGGTGGGAGGGGACAATTTGGAAAATTGTAATTCTTTCCTTAAAGAAGACATTTTTGGAAATGAATTCTATATTAATTTTTTTATTTAAATGGCTTTATTGTGCTAGATACAGAACACAATGAACCAGAATAGGTACCCTAAAATAACTTGAATCCCTGAAAAAGTTAAGAATAACAAGCACACATAAGCACAATGTTTTAAAACCGATAACTTGTTTTATTTTTGTCAGGTGATGTTGTTCTTGTCTTTGAAGCAGCGTTCTCTTTTTAAGCGGGATATGGAACAATGGTCTCACTTACTTCTGTTGACCTAGATTGGCACTATGAAGAAGCAAGAAAGCCAAAAATGGAACTACCTTTTCAAAGAAAATATTCCGAGATACCAAATCCAGTTCATAAGTAAAGCATATAAGTACTGTCAAACTTTACTTCCGTCACTACACCGATAGTCTGGGGTCTGTTCAGCTGGCATGTAAGTCCCACATGGTGAGGGTCTTCTAATTCCATCTACCTTGAACAATAGTTTCTTTTAACAGTCTTGAGAGTGTCACTTTGCAATTAGAGATAAGGCTCTTATGCAAATACTCATGTCCCTAAAAAAGGTAACATTATGACTTAAATTCACACGTTGATAGAATACTATCAGATTTCTTC